CAAGGCCTAAGGAGGGGAAGAAGTCAGTGGGAAACATGAAATTCAAATCCAGGTTTTCATCCTCCCACCCCGATGGTCTTCCCTTCTGGGTGTCACATTTAGTAAAATGGCCCATCATTTTTGCAAGCCTGCTTTCCCAGTGTTGAGAGCTTCTAAGTATATTGACCACTTCTCACTGTCCTTTGGAGTTCAAGGTCAGTAACGGCTCCAGGCCAGGCCAGAACAGGACAAACAATATTAATTAACATACGCACTACAGTTCCAGTAAGAACATTATTGGCATTGTATCCAAAAAACTGTTATACAACATGTTCATGATAAGCTTTCTCCTAGGTTACTTGACTCCAATAATTCTCATCCAACTGAACCACATTGTTGGCTAGAATAAGAATTCCTATGCTTATTTGCATTTTCTCCTCATGGCAGGTTCTTAAATATTATTAATTTGTAGCAAGCATGGGCCAAGAGGAGGTGGGCATGCCCCTCCCTCCCTCACATGCCAGGGCCTCCCCAGGGTGCACACACAAAAGGACAACAGTTTACATAAAAGAGGGAACATTTGGGCCACAGGAGACAGAGACAGAGAAAGACGCCACACAGACCTGAAAGCGGCAAGCAGTTCGGAGGAGTCGGCATGAGACGCACAACACGCGTGCCAGGAGAGATACCTCTGCTCCGTGTGCATAGCCCCAGGGGAGATGGAGCTGGTGGAGATACAGAACCACATGTAGACTCGGAGGAAGTAGGGGGCCAGAAGAGATGGAGATGCCAAGGTACACTTGGACCTGGAGAGAGGCCTGAGCTAAAGGCCCCTGCATCCATGTGGCCCCTGAGGGAAAGAGCTGACAAGAGCTGGCAGTGGACAGAGAGAGCAGCTGCCCCCGGCTCTGGACAGAGGCCTGAGCTGAAGTCCCCTACATCCATGTGGCCCCTGAGGGAAAGAGCTGACAAGAGCTGGCAGTGGACAGAGAGAGCAGCTGCCCCCAGTGCTGGAGAGAGGCCTGTCTTAAAGGGGGCTGCATCCATGTGGTCCCTTGAGAGAAGCAGCCAGCGCCAGACGAGGACGCTGAAGCAGCAGCAGAGTGACCAGGTGCTGCCAGCTGAAGGAAAACCAATGCAGGAGGGAATGGCAGAACCAAGTGGCAACGAGGCAGCGAGCAATGCCGGGGAGCCACATGGCCCAAACCTGCCCTTTACCGGTCATGAGGCCAGTGTGGCTCCAGGAGATGAAAGTGAACAGTCATCTCCCTAGCAATCCCAAGCTGAACAGGGCAGTACCAGAGGGGCGAAAGCCCCCGAGCTCAGTAGGGTAGTCATGAAAAAGTAGAGTAGTACTATAAGGCAGGATTGTACCTTGTGGGAAGGTGGGGGAAAGTTTTCCTGGCTGTCTATGAGTTAAGGTACAAATCCTTTCTATCCTTTTATTGCATAAATAAAACCTTTTCTGTCTTTAATGCTTTGTTAGCCTAGATGCTTGCAGGGAAACTAAGGGCCTCTTGTTGGAGGAGGGGAGATGCAAAATCAGTCAAATACTGAAGTTCCTAGGGTTACTCTGGATGTAGGCATGAGTCAAGGGGTTTTTAAAATAAGGCAGATACTGAATTTCCAAAAGTTTCCCTGAGTAAGGACACAAGATTTTGAGAGAGATAATCCAAAAATTGTACCCAAGTTCTTGTGGAGGACGAGAGGGGGGAGGGGGGAGGGGATTTGGGGGAGGGGAGAAGGGAGGGAGGAATGGAGGAAGGATAGGGGAGGGGGAGGGGAGAAGGGAGGGGAGGGATGCTCTAACTCCAGAGTTACAAACACAGTTACAATTTACTTGCAAAGATAATTTTTATGATGATGATTCTTAAAATTTTACCTATTAAAGTAAATGTTGCAAATATTATATTTATATGCTTATACTTCCAAATATAGATTCTGTTATGAGTTCTTTCTATTAAGTACTCTAGTCCTACTTTGTATCCCATCACGGTATAGCATGGACTCTGTTGTCAAAGGATAGGCCAATGGAACTCACTATGTGCCAGGCCTGTCAAGGACCTGAGGACAGGACTATCTTGTTGGTTTCCAACAACCAGCCTGGCTCCCCACGAGCTGGGCCACAAGAACTCTAAGGGACATCTACCCAAGTCATCAAAGAGCTGAGGGCAGTATCCACACACCATCGAAATACCAGAGACCCTAGTGGAGAAGAGTAAAAAAAGTTCTCCATGCGTCCTCCAAACATTAGCCATTGTAAAGAGAATTTCTATTGGCCTTTTGGCTGGTCTTTGCATTTTACATTACTGTTCACATATGCCATGTGCTATGCCTTTCCCACTGGTACAATTCTCCCCACTCGGAACGCCCCATCCTTCCCCTCTTCCTTACCAATGCAAACTTGGGTAACCTTTTTTGTAAGACTGAGCTCAAGATCCGTGCGTGTGCATCCTCACCAGAGGCCTCCCTAACTAACTCCACCTAACCCCAACCCTTTTCTCTTCTGTTGACCTCTACTTTAGTTTTGTAGATTTGGGAATGGATTTCTTTGGGAAGGACATCAAGTGTGTGTTTGACAGAAAAAGAAGAGGGGAAATAGTGGCTGGGCTGTGCTAATATAATAAAAATGGATGCTGCTACTAAAAACCACTCGCCTATTTATTGTTGTATCAATCAAACTGCCAAGGGGTCATTTTTTAAAATAAAATTAGACAAAACAGTAACAAGATTCATCTGAAGAAACCAAAGGTCAAAAATTGAAAGGGAAGTCAGGAGTAGTGGTACATGGCTTTAATTCCTGCTACTAGGGAGGTGAAGGCTGGGGGACTCTTTGAGTTTAGGAATTCTGAGCTGCAGTGGACTAAGTCAATTGGGTAAGCTTCCAGGAGTGGGGACCACCAGGCTCCCTAAGGAGCGGCACACTAGCTCACGTTGGAAATGGAACAAGTCAAAGCTTCCATGGCAATCATCAGTGGGACTGGGCCCAGGATATAGTCTCTGCACTTCTAGCATGGCAGAGATAGGAAGACTCAATCTCTACCAAAAATAATAATAATGATGATGATGATGATGATGATGATGATGATGAAAGAATGGGAAAAGTGAGAATAAAGGGAAGCTAGCATTATCATAACCCAAGTAACACTTTTAAGCAGTATTCATCCAAACTATTTGGTACTGATTCGAAAAACAGAAAAGCTGATTAATGGAAGAGACTTAGTAAAGTAAGACTCAGAAGCAATTGAATTTTGTAGCCAGTGTTCAATAAACCCAAAGAATTCTCTATTCAACAAAAAGTGTTGGGGAAACTAGAAAGCAGTTTGGCAGAAATTAGGTTTATGCCACAAAAATATCCCAATGAAGTACGAATAGATACATGACCAGAATAATAAAGGTCATAGTATGAAAAATTAGAGAATGAAAGGAATGACATTGGTGAAGAATGGAATGAGGGACAGCTAGGACTAGGGAAAGACTCACTGCAGGAAACAGAGGTGATAAAAGAAGATAAAATAGACTCATTCAATTACAAAGAATTTTAAAGGTTTCCTACAAAGAAAATCAACATAATTAGAAGAAAAACAGTTAATTAGGAAAAATCTTTGTAGCAAAAATCTCTGATAAAGTTCTGATATCTAAGACATACAGGAAATTGATAGAAACATATAAGAATAAAAGTCATTCCTTAAAGATAAATGGTCAAAGATTCTAAGAGGGAGCTTTCCAGAAGCCAAAATGCAAATTAGCAACAACCATGTGTAATCACTAATACTAAGCAACTTGCAAATGAAAATAATTTTGAGCTTTCACTTCATGCTCATCAGATTGGCAGAGATGCCAAAGTACAGAAAATAAGAACTATGAGAGGAAGTATGGAAAGAGACCTACTGACGTTAGCGCTGCAGGTGGAATCAGCTGATCCAATAATTCTGGAAGACAACTTGGAATTACACTAAAGTCATTAAACTGAACATACCCTTTGACCTTGCAAACCTACTATTCCCCAAGGTAGGGCACACAGGCATATACCTCAAGGAGGCTAAAATCCCCCACACAGAAACATTTAGAGCAGCACTTTTTGTGGTGACAAAGACCTGGAAGGAAAGTAGGTACCTGGTGATCAGTGAAAGGCTGGGCAAATTGTGAATGCAATAGGATATTAATGGATCATAAGAAATGATGAACATGAAGACCTGTATGAACTGATACAGAGAAAAGAAATGGAGTCAAGAGACCAATTGACATGACCACTGCAGTGATGTAAAGGAAAACAACAGTTAGACACTTAAAAATTAACGTTGCCAGTTAAAATAGTTTGCATATTTATTGTCATTCCAACCAAACTTCTAAGGGGTTATCAAGAACTATCAAGAAGTGAGCACCGGCCCTGGAGTCAGGAGGATCTGAGTTCAAATCCGGCCTCAGACACATAACACTCACTAGCTGTGTGACTCTGGGCAAGTCACTTAACCCCAATTGCCTCATTTAAAAAAAAAAAAAAAAGAACTATCAAGAAGTGACTCTAGAGGACTGGCTTGTGAAGCCTGCCTGCCTTCTTCCTCTCAGGTCAAGAGCAGAGGGGTGATGCATCCAAGTTCACACAAGGCCAGTGTGGCATTGTTTTGTCTGGCTACATTTATTGGTGACATGGCAGGGTTCTATTTGGGGGAGGGGATGAAGGAAGGGAGTCACTGGGAAGTGATCATTGCGTAAGAAAAAGAAAAGGGCAACCTCAGAGAGGGAGGTAGGCCCGACATGTATCACGAGTTAGGGCCAACAGATGGCCAGCCCGAGTGCTACACTGGTATCTGTGAAATATTCAGTGACCCAGAAAATGGTCTCCCGAATCCAAATCCTCTCTCTCCAGGGGCTTTCAGGAAAAGTCCCACGTGGGCACCAGTGCATTCGTTGGAGTAGCCACGTCTCGTGGTCACAGCTCTGATTGTGGATAGCCACACTCGCCCTAGAAGACTCGGGTGAGTGAATCAAGTCCTCAGTGTCTTTCAGAAGACTCCTACCTCCGTGACAGCTGGCTCCCAATCACTTCTGGAAAGGCTGGGGCGCAGGCTCCTGTGTCTTCGGATGAGAATTTCTTTGGCCTCTTTGGCTGCCCCCGTTTCTCCTGGAAGGCTGTGCCTGTTATATGCAGGAATCTGAAAACACAGCCCAACACAAAGTAGACAGAATGAAGTCCCGATGAAATCAGTGTTAAGAAAGAGACTCAGGGCTCTAGGCATACGTAATTTAAATTGGCTTACATTTGGAATTCTTTTAGATTATACGCACTTCACAGGGAAGGTAAACCAAAAGAAAGGTAGTTAACCCATCTCACCCATACATGTGCATGCCTTCTTAAAATGGCCTTCATCCTTAAACTTAAAAAAAAATCTGAAATCATGTTCATTCACAATTTCCTCACAAAAATAAACTCTTATAAGAATATTAAAGCTAGAAGAAAAAAGATTCGGCCTTTAAAAGAACTAAATTCTCTTGCCTTCAGTCTCTAGTCACCTCTCTCCATGGCTCCTCAGACGTATTGCTCCTGGCCTAATGGGCCAGACTCGATCACCACCTAAGCTGAGCCTCATCCCCATCTCCTGAGGTTGCCAGGACAGCACTGCCGAGAAAGGCAGTCTCACCCATGACTAAGAACTCAAGCAGGCCAGGCAGGCGATCTCCTACGTGCTGCTAGAACAGCAAGCCAGAGCCAGGGCCTCCGCCAGGGCCAGGGCCTCTCTGCTCTACTTTGCTATGGCTCTAGGCTCTACTCTGGAAGCTGATGAAGCACAGGGGTGGGTGGGTAAATATTTAACAACCAGATCTGGGGTGTGTGGATGACACATTTTTAAGTTTAATCTACATTAACAGTTTCTCCATCACTTTCTTAAATCTAGACAACCAACAAAACAATCCACCAAGCCCTGATTCGTAGTGTTTGCTGATTTCTGAGTTTTAAAGGCTCACACTGAAAATTTAACAACCAGTTTTTTGTGCCTCTGTTTGAACTGACTCCAGCACCACCCTGAACAGCTAGGCATATGGTTGGTAGCATAGAGAGAATATAAGGGCTAGAAGAGATCTACAGGGTTCACATACAGGGCCCTAGACCCTGCCTTTGGGCTGATTTTTTGGTCTTACGGGTCTGGCACATGGTAAGCGCTTAATAAATGCTTTATCTATGATTTCTCTTCTTTAAGAATCTTTAAGAATAAAGACTCTAGGGGCAGCTAGGTGGCGCAGTGGATAGAGCACTGGCCCTGGAGTTAGGAGGGCCTGAGTTCAAATCCATCCTCAGACACATAACACTTACTAGCTATGTAACCCTGGGCAAGTCACTTAACCCCATTGCCTAGCCAAATTAAAAAAAAAGAATCTTTAAGAATAAAGACTCTAGGGGCAGCTAGATGACGCAGTGGATAGAGCACTGGCCCTGGAGTCAGGAGGACCTGAGTTCAAATTCGGCCTCAGACACAACACTCACTAGCCGTGTGACTCTGGGCAAGTCACTTAACCCCAACTGTCTCACCAAAAAAAAAAGAATAAAGACTCTACTACCCCCCTTACAAGGTTACCCATTCTCAGGTTCTATTTCAGAAATTCCTCCTTATATCCAAGCAAAACTGCATCATGCTGGATCTTGTTAGGGCTTCCAGAGCCAGACAAAATGTCTGCTTGATGTCTTTTTTATAAATCCTTTCTTGAAAATAATAATTAGTTTTCTCCTTGTCTTCTCCAAACTAAACAAGTACAATTCCTCTGGTTGACCCTGGTACTCTTTTCAAGGTCTTTACTGATCTCCATACATCTGTCCATCTGTCCATCCATCCTTTATCCATCTGTCCGTCTGTCCACCCATCCTTTATCCATCTGTCTGTTTGTCCACCCATCCTTTATCCATCTGTCTGTTTGTCCATCCATCCTTATCCGTCTGTCCGTCTGTCCATCCATCCTTTATTCATCTGTCCGTCTGTCCACCCATCTTTTATCCATCTGCTCATCCACTCATCTGCACATATGTCCGTGTGCATGTCTCTCTCCCCTCTGCTCCTTCCCCAACCCTCCCCCCAGTTTCTCCACATCTTTTTTATGACATTTGGTGGCCAAGATTAGGTCCAATGCTCTCCTATGGGTCTGACAATTGTAGAGTACAGTGAAAAGATTATTTCATAGCCCTTCCACATAATAACTGCCCAAACTAATAATTAATGTAAATAACTCCCATTTCTATAGAACTTGAAGGTTTACAGAGCAATAACCCTGGGCAAGCATCACTAGCCCCATTTTACAAATGACAAATTTTCACCTCTGTCCTCGCGTCTTCAAGTCCAGTGTCCTTTCTATCACAACACACTGTGCCCCAACATACCCCAACGTAGGGAGGAATATCTTACAGATGAGGAATTTTAGGATAACAATATGGAATGATTCCATGTTAGGAAAGGAACTGAAATCACATGTAAATTGGCAGAATTATAATTATGTCTTTTATTGGAAGTCTAATTATTGGATTTTTATCCTCTTTCCTCCCATGGGTTCCAAGTGCTTTCTATATCTATTGAATTCTATTCTCTGCGTCACTCCACCATCCAATATCTTCCTAAACAGAATATTATTAATATCTCACAAGACTCCAGAATCTTAGAACTGGAAGGACAGCCATCAGGCTAGTTCAGCAACTGACTAGACCAAGACCACAAAATCCATGTGCAATGTGCCAGAACAGAGACGGGTTCGTTCCATTTGTAGAACAACTACAGCATCACTTGGGCTAAAAAGAATCCTTACCCCTCTCCTGATTTTATATAGGTTGGTAGCCAATATCTGCTGTATATTATCCATGAGGTCTTGATCCAGAGGGGTTGGGGCCGTGGCTGCTGTGGCTGGTTCATGACCGGGGCTGCAAAGAAAACAACTGGGTTGTTTACAGGAATCAAATACAAAAAGGCATCGAAGTTGAAGGTATGAGAACAAGCCACGTTCAAGCTATCGAGGCATCAGAAGACAAAAGGTAAACAAAATAAAAGTGGCGGGGGAAAGATCAGGACTGCACTTTAAAAGGAAAAAAAAGGCTCCTTGAATGAATCCTGGTGGGCCTCAACAAGAGGTAGCTAAGCCCAAATGTTAATAAATATGAATGTTTCAAGGGGCAAGTCTAGTACCGGGCTTTAAGAGCCTTAGTATTCCTTCTACTGAACAAGAAAAGGTTTGGAGAGTCCCATCGATGGGTTCTGAAAGGCCAACTGGATTGGAGAATCACCAACTTTTTCGAAGTGACTCTTCTTTGTAATCATGCGGGGACAATGAGAAATCCAGTTAGGTAAGGCACTGAGGTAAGGCATGAAAGCTGGGCAGGAGGCATTATTCACAGGCATTTCAAATGGCTTGTGGAAGTTTTCCTAGCTGTGTTACCAGCTTCCATCTGACAGTAAATGTTTCTGGCCTTCCCATCTTTAGTGTTTCTTTTCCAGTTCATATTCTTAGAGCTGGAGAACTCAATGAAGAGATAATGACTAATGGGTTCGGAATGTCTCTGGGCCTAATCCTACTGCCAGGTTTATGCAGCTAATGCAAAATGGAGGCTTAAGCTGTCATCTGGCTATTTCAGGCAATGGAGACAGTTGGTCTATGAATTTCAAATAAAACCATTTCCTACTTAGGTCCTGAATTATCCAGATGAACTCTCTATATCTGCCCACATCCCCAGATTATTATTCAGTCCTCCATTTTGCAAGGGTTATATAGCCCTACCTTGATCAAATCAAAAAGGTCAAAGCCCTGGGTTTCCCCTACCCCAAATAATCAGGCCCAAGGAATGATATTCCCCCACTGTGCATCCACTTCTGCCTCATTCCAATCACTCCACCCCACGCTGAATTCACAAGGCAAGGTTCTCAGAAGGCCATCTGGATGAGCCAGCCCCCTTAATGAAGGCACGGGAAGGAAACCTGAGCCATCCAGAACAGCTGACTCCTGCAAAGGTCTGGCCTAACTGAAAAGCTCTCCAGAAGAAAAGATTCCACTGTATCCCTGGATGGCCCGTTTCAACACTGAATTGACAAACTCTCTTTTTGGCTAACTGTACGGTCTTATCTTTGGTGAGGAAAGCTAACTGATGAGCATTCTGCTCCCAGCTCTCCTGGAAGATACAGAGGAAACCTGGAGTTCTAGGCAGGTTATTGAAGCTGGAGTCGGGAAGAAGCAAGTCCCAAGGCCACCTCTGATACTTGCTGGCTGTGTGACCTTGGACAAGTCACTTAGCTCTGCAAGCCTCTCACAATTCCACAGGGCTAGTCTTCTAAGTCATGGAGGGTTGGGAACTGTGTTAGCAGAGGAGAATCCCCCCCTCAACTGATGAACTAAAAGATCCTTCCCATATACTTGAAGACAACTGGTCAGTTCCCCTAAGGGGAATTCTTCTCTTTTCTTCTCCAAGGTAAACAGCATCATTTGCTCTAACTGTCTCCTGAAGGATCTCATTCATCACTTTAATCATTGTTGCAATCACTCTTCTCTAGAACATCTCTGGTTTCTTTATTTCTGGACCCATTCCTCCCTCCAGGTTCTCTGATCAAAATCAGGTCAGGATGACTTAGCCACCAGTTTGTGTCGTCCCCCATACCCACAGTCCGGCCAGTATCAGAGTCACTTTTTAAATAGTAGTGTTCTATGAGTGACTCTTCTAAAACTTGGAGTGTGCTACTGGTGCTTTGATCTTGGACCTGAGTCATTTGTATTTGGGGCCTTAAGTCAAGCCAACCATGGCCACAACTTTAAGCCAGACTCTTCAAGTCTCAATATGCATATTGCATATGTGTATTCATGACATTTGTGATAAGCACTGGACCACGTGCTGACTGGCTGACTGAATAGGATGGGCCCAGCCATCACTGGTGTCTGGTGGATCCAAAATGGTATCAGTGTAGACACACTCACCCCACCAACTTCATGACAAGCCTCTCTGCACTTAGCCAGAGTTCATTCATTCATTCATTCATTCAAAGCCATTTCAGCTTGGTAGGACATATGAGAGGTGATGTTCTTCCGGTATAATCTTTCAGAACTGTGGATCATCTCTGGGCCATGATGGAGCTTTAGAGGAGGACTTTGATGGGTACATAATAGGCTCACTGCAAACCCCCAAACTCTTCTCCAAACACTGACAAAAATTCCTTAAAAGTTTTACCAAGAGGGGGAAAGAAAACCTCATGGCACTCAGAGAATTACCACACTCCCATTTTAATGCACATTTAATGTAAATTGTTCTGTAGAAGAATTTTTTGCTTTTTCTTCTTTCTCTCTCCCCCACCATTTTCATTTTCCCTTTTAAAGTTCTCTCTCCCTTAACAGTCATCCAGAAAAAAAGAGCAAGGAGACCCTTGGTACATCCATCATTTCTGTCCCCTTCCTCTGCAAAATAAAAAAAACCCTCTAAAGTTCTATTCATGCCTCATTCAACAGAAGCAAGGGGTAACTTCATTTTTATTTTCATTTTTAAAAAGTAAATTTGAACACTAGGAGATGGACTTTTTAAAAGTATCTTCATGTAACTAAACACCTCACAGCCAGCCTCCCCACTTTTAGAAGGACTGGGCCCTCCATGCTCAGCAAGGCAGCTATGAAGGCCTGGGGTGGGAGAGAAGAGAAACACAGGTCCCAAGAGAAAACTTTCGACCCTTTCTTTTAGTGGCTGCAGCTGTTTCCATTTTCCCAAGGTCCAGAAGGCTGGGTGGGTGGTACCTGCAAGAGAACATCATGGGTCTTGAAAAATACTTACCACTCAGGTGCACTGGCTGGAGCATGGACCAGTTGACCAGCTTCTACCAGCTCAATGTCATGTTTCCTCGCCAGCTTTTCATACAGGAGCACAATGCTAGACTTGGGCTGGTCATAATCTCGCAGCAAAATCTTCTGCAGATATTGGCTATTGAAATATTCCAATCTGCTCAGGCGGCAAAGAAAAAAAAATGCCAAGAATTCACTGGCCACTCTCCTCAGAAAAGTCCTGTTGGCTTTTAGTTCAAATCAGGTCAGTCCCCAAACATTTGTTTAAGACCTACTATATGCAAGGCGCTGAGGGCACAAAGGTAAAAGGAGGCACAGCCTCTGCTCTCAAAGACCTTCCAAGCAGAAGGTCTGGAGGCAGAAGGAGAGAGGCAGAAGGCCTGGGTTCAAGTACGATCTCGGCTACTTACTAACTAGCTACATGACTTTGGCCAAGTCACCAAACATCCTCTGGCCTCAGGTCCTCTTCTGTGAAGTGAAGACTGATCTTAATGGGGGGACACACCAGTGACACAAATGAGTAAGAGACTGCATAGGACATAGCCAAAGAAGAGGATCATGGGATCGAGAGCTAAATGGGCCTCAAAGAACATCGAGTTCAATTCTTTCATTTCTGAGATGAAGTAATACAGGAGACAGGGAAAGTGACTTGCCCAGAATCACAAAGCTGGGAAGGAGGAGAGCTGGGGTTCAAGCATCACATCCTCTCATTTCAAATTCAATGCCTCTCTCTACAACACTCTGTGGCTATTTCTTACTCACTACTACCTCCGAGCTTTGTACAAGCCCTTATTGCCACACCCCCACCAGGGTTACTGCAATTCCCTGCCAAGAAGACTTCATGCCTCCATTCTCTTCCCCCTCCAAAATGTCTGTCAGACTGGTATGAGAATATTTTTTTTCTTATGTGTAGATCTAGTTCAGTTATTCCTCTGCTCAAAAATCTTTGGTGATTCCCTATCACCTCTGGAGAAAAGGTCAAACCCCCTCTGCCTGGCATTCAAGGCCCTCTACAATCTGACACCACTCTCCCCTTCTAGTCTCCTCCACATTCTCCATTCCTAGTCAAAAGGCACCTCCCCCATGAAACCTTCTCTAGCCCCCCAGTGTGCACCTCTCTCTTGCACTTACCACACATCATTGTGTGTTGGGGTTATCCCTATTGGTGCCTTACCATCCCACTAGACTATGAACTCCATGAGAGCAGACCATGTCACTTAGAACTGTGATGTTTGTGCAATAAAAAGCAAAACAGAAAAGATGTGAAGGATGGGACCCTTGTAGGCTAGGCCCAAATAGTGAAATTGTCTTTAAATGTTCTAATTTGGCTAATTAAGCTTCATAAGTACACACTTGAAAATTAAGCTGAAGTTTTAATGTTTTTAGAAATAAATCTGAGTTTGATTTTGAACATTGAAGGACAACATTGGTCCATCTTAAAAGAGGCTTGGTATTGAGGTGGGAATAGAGAAAGAAAGAAGGAAGCATTAACTAAGCACCTACGATGTACCAGGCACCATGCTAAGTGCTCTACACTCATTATTTCATTGATCCTCACAACAACCCAGGGAGGTGCTATTATTACCCTCATTTTATAGTTGAGAAGCTGAAGCAAATAGTGGTTTGGTGACTTTCCCAGTGTCACATAGCTTGTACATGTGTGAGCCAAGATTTGAACTCAGGTCTTCTTGACGCCAAGCCCACTATTCTATCCACTAAGCACCTAGCTGCCTCGAGAAAAGGAGGGAAGGGTTCAATAGATACTGTGGAAATAGAATGCCTCTTCCTTAGATATAAGAGGTGAAGTATCTTGGCCAATACACTCAAGAAATAATCCTCACACTCAAGAACTGAATGTGGCCTAAGCACCCTTTGCATTTCAGAACAGGCCATGAAAGGCAGTGGGGGTAGGGTGGGAACATGACCTCAGAAAGCCATTGGACTCTGAAAACGTCAATGGTCCACTAACTCCAACCTTAAGAACACAATCCCTTCTGCCCATTGCTTCAGTGTGAGAACATGATGGAGAAAAGAAGTGCCCCAACTCTGTCACTGAACTCAGGTTTATGAATCTACACTGTGATCTACGGTATTTTCTGAGAGTTCACATCTTCTGGCCAATTGAGATGCATGTCCTAAAAGACTCAAAGGCTTATTAGTCTCTCCTTTTCCTGCCAACTCAGTTGGCCATGTAAAGTCATAAAGAAATAGGTCAGAAGTAGCCTGTCCTATGAGGCACACTACCAACATCTCCCTGTTAGCTAGGCCACCACGACCCAGAAGCAGCACACATTGGACCAGACCACCAGGGAGCCCAGAGTAGACCATAAATGAAGACAATGCAGTAGGGCTTAGAATCCAGTGGAAAGTGGGTCTGGAAAGGGTCAAAAATAGGACCCTTTAGGAGGTAAAAAGCCTCTCCCTAAGGCTGCCTGCAACACTCCCAGGAGAAAGGCCTTATCTGGGAGTTTGTGTGGCAGCGTGTCGGGATTTGGTGGCCCAATCTGGTGACTGTCATACCTTCTGGGGTAAGGTAAAAAAAAAAGAGAGAGAGATCACCATCGTCGACTTCATGATACAGGAGAGGGATGAAGAAATAGTCATAGGGGTCATCTTTTTGTTCCCTTTCTACACATGGACACAGCTGTATTTCTAGCAGCTTCTTACTTGTCTTTCCAGTAACATTGTCCCCAGTGTCCAGATATGTCTTCAATGCCAGCCATCAAGTGGTCCAAGAACTGAAAAAGAAGAGTCTGTCTATACACACAGCATGTAGGAGGAACTCAACTAGCAGCCAAGGAAAAGAAACTCTGCTTTAGAAGCATAAAAGAGCACAATTCTTTGTATCATAATCATCATCACCACCACCACCACCACTACCACCATCATCACCATCATCACCACCACCACCACCACCACCACCACCATCATCATCATCATCATCATCACCACCACCACCATCATCATCATCGCCATCACCACCACCACCACTACCACCATCATCACCATCATCACCACCACTACCACCATTACCACCATCATCACCATCATCACCACCACCACCATCATCATCATCATCATCATCACCATCACCACCACCACCACTACCACCATCATCACCATCACCACCGCCACCACCACCACCACCATCATCATCATCACCATCACCACCACCACCACTACCACCATCATCACCATCATCACCACCACCACCACCACCACCATCATCATCACCATCACCACCACCACCACTACCACCATCATCACCATCATCACCACCACTACCACCATCATCACCATCATCACCACCACCACTATCATCATCATCATCATCATCATCATCATAGTTATCATCATGTTGTATCCCATCAAGTGAATGTGAACTGTCAGAGAGTAGAGACTGTTTCATCCTTCATCTCTGTGGCCTCACAATAGAGGCGAGGGAGTCCAGCAGATAGAGAGCTGGCCTGTGAGTCAGGGAGACCCGAGTTCAAGTGTCCCTTCTTCTGACACCTGCTGGTTGTGGGACCTGGATGACCTCTCAGCGCGCCCCCCTCCCCGGCAACTCTGTAACATGGTAAGCTGCCAAATAGGGCCAATCTGTCCAGTGGAGGCAATGTCCTCTCTGGGAGTTGCCTACACCTACGAAATCACAGGTTCAAACGAAACTCTCCATCCTGCCTTTTGTGAGCAGGCATGCCTCTCCTAATGTCCTTTATTAGCCTCTTTATGTGCAAGATAAGACTTTTACTCCAGAAATGCGTGTATGCATGTGTGTGCATGTCAAGGAGGAGCAGAGCAAGAGAATGAGCTTCAAAAGGCAGACTTACTCGGAGATCAAAGAATCATCAAAAAATGCTAGAAGAAAAAGAAACCTCAGAGGTCATCTAGTCCAACATCTCATTTCAGAGATAAGGAAACTGAGGCCCAGAGGGGTCAAGTGATTTGCCCGGCATCACCAGTAAGCGTGTGAGGCAGGATTTGAACTCAGATCCTCCCGATTCTGTCCAGCACTCTAGCCACTGCCCCATCGAGCTTCCCAAAAGATAGCTGTGTCCAACATGAGACACAACCCGCAACCTGGGATTAAGAATTTCATACTCTCCCAACTGAGCTAGCCAGGCACCTTGAAAGAAATTAATCTGAAGCTGGATCTTGAAACAAGTAGTAACCACAAAACAACAATGGTTCTGCGATAGATCCAGATTCAAACCTGGCCTCTGTGACTTGGGAGATTCACCTCATTGAGCCTCACTTTCCTCGTCTCTAAAATGAACTCTTAGATGGCCTCTCGGGTCCTTTGAGCTCTACACCTGTGGTTCTAAGGCATTCTACCCATAGGAAAGGGTGGAAACAAAGGAGTATAGAATGAGAATGAGTGGGATACGTAGGGCAGCAACAAGATGGACCTAGCTAGTGCCCATGGATCATATGAAGGGTCAGGAGACAAAACATTGGATTGGCACGGGGGCAAGGGGTAGAAACCAACTGATAGAAGGTCCTGAATACTAGTTGAAGAAGTTTAGATTTGGCCTTATGGGTAAATTCTTTCCTTTGGGTTATAGTGAAATGCTTCTTTGCCACAATGTTTTGTTCTAAAACTACCATTTTAGACTTACATGAACTGATGCTGAGTGGAGTAAGGAGAACCAGCAGAACATTGTACACAATAACAGCAACACTGCGCGATGACCAACTTTGACAGATTTAGCAATACAACGATCTAAGACAATTCCAAAAGACTCACGATGGAAAATGCTATCTAAAACTACCATTTTTATTTGGGATTGGGAGAGGGTAAACTGGACCTGTGACTTCTTTAGTCTAAGAAATTCCTAGGATAGAAGGTTTCTCCATAAATGCAGATTGGCAACTCGTCCAAAACTCTGACTCTCAGAAAGTTGCCTGGGCTACTGGGAGGTTCATTGATTTGCCCATGACAGCTGGTGCCAGAGGCTGAACCTAAGCCAAATGATCCTGGCTCCAAGGCCACACTCTCCCCACTAAACCATACTGCTTCTCAAGACTGACATACAGCAATATAAGGGCAGAAATGACAAGGGGTCTCAGATGGACAAGGATACAGAAAAATTGGGGATGTTCAATTCTACTATGCCTATGAATAAAGATGACTTTGGCTATACCTAGTCATAAGATCAGGGCCACAGGCCAACAGTCGGATTGTAATTTATCAATCGATTTACCAGCCAGCACTCGTTAAGCACTCACTACACACCAGGTGCTGTGCTAAGTGATGGCGATATGAAGCCAAAGCCTAGACAGTCACTGCCCTTGAGGAACTCTGGCATCTTCATGACCAAAATAACAGATTGCAATGGGCTTTCTTCTATGTGGAAGATGCCTTGTCTTCCATCTGATCAGTTCCAGCCATCATTAAGTAATCAATCAGCTGTCTTGACACTGCTAGTTATGCTAGTTATACTAGTTATATTAGTGAAACTTAACACTCACATGTGTTGGAAATACTGTTACAGGTCTGAAAAGATGTCTGAGAAACCCAGATGCTTCTGCAGTATTTGAAGAGAAGTCATAACGCAAGCTTCATACTTTTCTGGGAATTTTTTCCCCTTTAAACCCCCAGGCTCTGTTTCAACAACCCAAGGAGGTCCTGAACTCATTCTTTGTATTTGATCATGGATAACTTATCCCACATAGAAATCTGCATATCAAATCCAATTTCCTTGAGGAACTAAAGCTAAGTGCCATATATTACCTGGCCCAAATATTCCCCGACACTTTCCTGGGTTCAAGAGCAGACATGAAGCACGTGATATGACTTCAGAGTCTTTTGTTGTGGAGTAACTCGCTCAGACAGCATAGTTTGTAATCTTATTGCTTTAACCTTTCACTCTGGAGACACTATTAATAGTATGGAATAACAGCTCTGCCAAAGCTTAACCACATTAAATAAAGTTTTCCAATTACACAAGGGCGAGACGGGTCAGCCAATAAGTGGATGACATTCCAGCCCAAATAGGAAACGATATTGAATCTCAAGTCACAAAGGAGTCAAGGCTACCAAACTTCATTCCCAGCTCAGCATGGCTGCAATAAACCCCAATGTATGCAGCTTGGAAGGTGGGGCGTGGCTCTCCAAGTCTGCAGAGTACAAATGGACCCTTGACCACAGCCACCCCTCCAGAGGCCCAAGGCTCATGGATGCTTTTTGTAGGAGGAAAAACCCAAGCACAAAGAAAGCTTAAGTTGCATGAATTACTTACTCGGATATGAATCTGCTCACTCACAGTTGGAGAAGTTTCTCTTCCTCTGGTCACATCTAATAAGTCAACAAGAGGCCGGATGGTCATTCCCTGCAACATGACAACATTTTGGTAAAATGTGAGCTTGTCAAGGGCAGGAACTGTTTTGTGTGCACCAGGCCTCCCCTCCAGCAAGCCCACTGGCTTTGGCCTGTATCCAACATTCTGTACCCTGTCACTATGTCTTTGCACAGGCTTTGAATCCCTTGCCTAGATTACACTCCCCTCATCTCTGCCTCATTGGATCCCTACGTCCTTTCAGAGCTCAGCTCAAGTACCACGAAGCCTTTCCTGATCCCTCTCAATTGTTAGTACCAGCCGTCCTAATCTATATTTCACCGCTGGACCCAGAGGGCTCCTGTGGAGAGAGTGAGGCTGGTGACCTTGCACGGGCCTCCCTCACTTAAACCGAACTCACTTGCAAGTCATGGCATCACCTCCCTGATGTCATGGTCCTCTTCCAGAACAAAGGACAAACAATGACAACAACAATTATTAGCAACTTCTCCCCCAATTATTTGGCATTTGTTTTATACATAATTTTGGCTTAGCTGTGCATGTATAGTTTCCCCCCAGCAGAATCTAAAGGTCCCTGTGGGCAGGTACTGCATGTCATTTTGTCTGTACCCTCAGTACCTAATACAGTGCCTAGCATATGATAGACGCTGAATACATGCTTCCTGTGTTCAACTGAATTGATTAGGTAATTAATACCCACTTGTCAAGTTACTGACTATACAAAAAGCCAAACATCTTTTACATGAATTGCCATTTTGAATCCCATACCTTTATGTACTTTCTAGATCAGCGTGCGTGCGTGTGTGTGTGTGTGCGCGTACACGCACGCATGTGCATGTGTATGTTTTAGCTAGACCGTGAACAGAATGCTGGACAGAATCATAAAATCCATAAGTATGGCATCTGGGGGATAGGGAGGGCACAAGTGAATACCATGATACCATGGAAAAGGGCTGAGGTTTTCTTTCCCTCAGGTCAGAGGGGACATGATGGCATGGTAAGATATGGGAAGTCAGAGAAACCCATAACAACTTGGTAAATAGCACTGGCAATTTATAGGGCAAAAGAAAGCAGTGAGGACTTCAGAATATCAAAAATCTTCTGCTGCCGTTCAGTCATTTTCAGTTGTGTCCGACTCTTCATAACCCCTTTTGGAGTTTTCTTGGCAAAGATACTGGAGTGGTTTGCTATTTCTTTCTCCAGCTCATTTTACAGATGAGGAAACTGAGGCAAACAGGGTGAAGTGACTTGCCCAGGGTCACACAGCTAGTACATGTTTGAGGCTGGATTTGAACTCAGGGAGATGAGTCTTCCTGACTCCAGGCCAGTCACTCTATCCACTGCCCCACCTAGCTGCCCCCCAAGAGTCTTCTGCCCTAATTCAAATTCTGCCAGGGACTTTAGCAGGCAGGTCATTTTGTCATTAGCTTCTTCTCTGCCATAGAAGGAATCCCACAGACCAGACACCATTGTTTGGTGGTGGGCATCCAGCCCTGTGGTTAAAGGGAACTCTCAGTGTGGGGACTACTCCCATCAAAGCAGATTAGGAGCTCCTCTGTAACCAAGGTCTTAGAGAATCACTGGGGACGCTGAGAGGCTGAGCAACCCCTCCAACCAGTACGTGTCAGATGCAAGGCTTGAGCCCAGGCCTTCCCAACTACAAGGCCACACTGTCTCTACTCACCAGCCACTCCACACTGCCTCTTACCTGCAAACTTACCACTGTGGCAGGCTCTAAAGGAAGCTGCTATAAAAAATGAACTCTCTGTTGTAACGATCACAAGGGCCTAAGCCAAATCGCTGCACAGAGGCATTTCAGCTTAGCTCCGTGGCCTAGTCTGGACGAATATCAACTGTGAAGGTGGAAATCAAATTTTCTCAAAACAGAGAATGGCATTATTACAAATGAAGACTTAGAATTTGTGCTGATGTGGTCAATTTTCAAGGTGGGGGCATTCTGAAGTATCTTTTGCTGAGATTCTTGTGATAAAGTAAAAAGGCTAGCTATGAGTCTCTGTTTGGTCTCTAAACTGATTTTCTTATTAACTGACTTCCTAAAGACATAAGCCTGACTGTCCCTATGCAATGCTAACGAGATGGCAGCTATCCGAAGCAGGACTAGTCAGTGGGCCGGGGAGCCTGTGGGTTATAGTGGGAAAAGAGCTCAAGTTCCCGTCAGAGGACCTGGGTTTCAACCTCAGCTCTGCCTCTGATTTCCTGCGTGACCTTGGCCAAGTCACTTTGGCTGACTGGCCTCAGTTCCTCATCTGTAAAATAAGGTAGCTGAGCTGGATGATTCCTGAGGTCTCTTCTAGCTCTAAATCAATGATCCTATGACTATCCTCTAATTATTATTAACACCAACCAAGTAATCATTACCACTGATTGAAATCATGTGACTCAAAGAGAAACGGCAATGACTATGGAATCAGAGGATCTGAGTTCAAAACTCACCTCTGATACTCAAAGTTTCACTATTTAAAATTATAATTATGTAAAGTACAGTAATTGGTTCCAGCCCAGTGGAAATTTGTATGTGAATTCAAATAATGCGACCACTTCACTGGATTCCTGAATAGCACTAGTCTGGACTTAGCTGTACGTACTGTGTGACCTTGGGCAAGATCCTTCTCTCTGGGCCTCAGTTTCCTCATCTGTAAAATTAAGGGGTTAAACTAGACGGCTTCTGGATTCCTTTGAGCTTAACATCTATGATTCTGTGATAGGTGAAAGGTTATCTAGCAAGACATTGTCACATCTCAGGTTGCCTCATAACAATAATGAAAAAACCAGGGACCTCAGGAGAGGAAAATGTTAACATCCATTCAAATGTGGAAAGAAGTGCTTTAAGAGCAGGGTCTCCTTTAGAATGCTGGCTCTTGGAGAGCAGGGCCTGTGTCAGGGCCTTGTGTGTAATGTGTAAACAGAGACATGACCTTTGAGGAAAGTAGAGGGCAGGAACATCTGATAGTCCTAGAAGGCTTCTGGAAGGACATGGGCCCTGAGCAGAGCCTTGAAGAGATCTAAGGATTATTCCAAGAGGTGGAAATGAGAAGGGAGAATGTTGCAGTAATGAAGTACAGTCTACATACAGTGCCTAGCACAGTGCTTGGCACATAGTAGGTACTTAATACCGGGAAGACTAGGTGGCATAAATGTTTGTTGAATTGAATTGAATGGAGCTCAAAGGCCCCCAGTCTGGGCACTGAGAGCAATATGAAAAACCACTGCCAATGGGCAGCCAAGCTCTTCCTCTTCCTCATCATCATCACCAACAGGTACGTATTAAGCATCTACTATATTTCAGGCATTGTGCTAAGCACTGGGGATACAAAGAAAGGCAAAAGACAGCTCCTGCTGTCAAGAAGCTCAAAGTCTAATGGGGGACACAACATGCAAAATACTATGTACAAACAAGCTAATTTCATAGGGAAGGGATGAGGGAGGAATGAGGGTACTGGGAAAGGCCCTGCAGAAGGTAGGCTTTGAGCTGAGTCTTGAAGGAAGCCAGGAGGTAGAAGCAAGGAGTGACTGCATTGCGGCCATAGTGGATAGCCAGAGCAAAGGCAGAGTCTGGAGGTAGAGTTCCCTGAGTGAGGATCAACAAGCAGGCCGCTATCACTGGATCAGGCAGAGAGAAGTAAAATATAACACTGGAAAGATAGGAAGGGGGCAGATTGTTAATGGCTTTAATAGGTAAACAGATGATTTTATATTTGATCCTGAAGGTAATAGGGAGCCACTGGAGTTTCTTGAGTAGAGGGGTGACATGGTCAGATCTGTGCTTTAGGAACATCACTTTGGTATCTGAGGAGAGGACAGACTGGAATGGGGAGAAACTTGAGGCAGGGAGATCCACCAACAGGCTCCTGCTATCATAAGTGCACCCACCCCACTTTGTCCTCTTCAAAGATCTCACAGACCTAGGAAGAAAGCAGGATGTAAGTGTTTCTGTTCATGCATGAACACCTATTATAGAGACTCCTATTCCTGGAGTTGGAAATCAGGGGCCCCGGATGCATTCACCCACCAGAGCATGCTGCTGGCCCTTAGAATCTCAATCACTTTGGGATTAAATCAGTATTTGTAAATACTGAAGAATTAGTCAGAAATATCAAGTCAAAATAGCCACATAGTACTATGCCAGTGATTCTGAGTAACTTGCAGGGGAAGGGGGAGAGGAACATTCTTTCAATTAAGAGACCCCACTAAAGTCATTTTGTCATTTGGAAAATTATTATGCGCTCTTTTATTGTTGGAACAATTGCTTGTTAACAAATATGGACATTGTGCATGGCTTGGGAGCGGGAAAGGGGTGGGGGCAGAGCAGAATCTTCACCGAACAGATTAGTGTATCAAGAACATATCAAAAAGATTACTTCTGAATACAAGACTCTCAGATTCTCCAGACTCAGTAACAGGGAACTCCTAATTCAGCCTCATTGTCAAACTCGATGCCATTGTGCTATGTCCAGCAGAGGGCATAAAATGTTGTCAGCAGAAGTGACAATTCTGCTCCCTTTGGCTCAGGTTTGCCTTGGCTGGCCTGGGGGACATGCACTCTTCCTTCTTACAAATTGGGAAACTGAGAACAATCCCTGGGGTGACCAGCTATGATTCTTATAATATTCATTTGAGGTACGAGGTACAAGGATCACAGGCCCATAGGCTGAGTTAGCAGGGCCCTAAAATTACCCAGTTCATGTTGTTCAAAGCCCTCATTTTATAGATGAGGAAACTGAGGCCCAGAGAGATAAAGTAACTTCCTCAAAGTCACAGAGGCATTAAATGGCTGAGGCAGGATTTGAATCCAGATCTCTGGTTCTAAATCCAGGGGTCATGCTAATGTACCAATGCCGCCTCCCCATTTTTAGATGAGGAAACTAAGTCACAATTCCTGAATGATTGGTTCGCTTCATTGAGTTGTCAGAATTACAAAAGGGCAAACAGGCGGGTAATTCCATCACCCTCTAGAAAATACGGGGTCTGTGATATTATCAGTAATATTGTCAGACATATGAACTCCCTCCAGACAGGGCAGATCATAAGTAGCCTAGGACTCAGGGAATATATCCTAGAGAATGGCCTGAGGAGAGGAGAGACAGCCCAGGCTTAGGGGGCTGATGCCAAGCTTCTATGTGAACCCAGATCATCAGACAATCTGCATCCAGGCTCTCCTTACTCCAAGCTCAACACTGGCTCTACTATGGCACACTTGGCACTAGCCACCTTTCCTGAAGGAAACAATCGCTATGGGGTTTCCCTGCCATGGCATTTCAGTCTTGGGGAAAACAACAAATCCTAGGAATACTTTAGCCACTAGATGGTGGTGGAATGACATGGCAGGCTCTCTCCCCTATGCCTGCTTTCAGCTGCTTCCGGCTCAACCTCAAGGCCAAAGAGAAGAAAAGGGGACAAAAGATCCAGCAGCACAAGGTGAAGGACAGGGATGCAAATGCTTTTCAATGTTTTTGGGACCCAATTTCAAACAAAAGAGTAGCTCTTATTGATGACATGGGGGGCGGGGGCTGAACCTGTGATTTCAGCCATGTAGGGCTGGCCCAGAGCAGCTTCTCCATGGATAACATATGGATGTGATTACAGTCGCAAGCAGAGAGAAGTGGAGCACATGTAGGTTATTTCACAGGAAATGGAAATGAATTCTTGAAAATCACGTTGTATTTCAAACCAGCATTCTTCTGTTGAAAGCATCTATTAAAGTGAAAGCTGGGTAAAGCTTAGTTAAATCAAATGTGATTTTCTGAAGGCTTAATTAAAACTGATTTTTAAATGGCAAGAAAATAAATGTTGGAGCTTAACCAAAACCATTAACCAAAAATAAAAATGGGGGCTTTTCAGAGAAGATGACTGCAGCTGCTAAGTGGCAGAGCCAGGTTGGGAGCCAGGTCTGCTGACTCGAAATCCGACTGAGCATTTACATAGTACATTATGGTCTGGAAAGTACTTTGAAAACATCAACTCATTTGACCCTCACGACAACCCTGAAAGGTGGGTGCTAACATTATCTCCATTTTGCAGATGAAGAAACTGAGGCTGACAGAGATCAGGAGACTTGCCCAGGGCCTCACAACTAGCAGGTGTCTGAGACAGGCTTCAAACTCAGGTCTTCCTGACTCCAAGGCTAGCACTCCAGCTCTCGTGCCACCTAAACGTCTCCAAACGAGTCCTCGTCTCACTGCATTCGGTGGCCACAAAGTCTCTAGGCCAAAGGTTTTGGGAAAAGCTGCAAATATGTGTGCCATTGGCAAATGAGGAAGATTTCTGCCTTTCCTCCCAGATTCTTAGAGCAATCAATACAGTATAAACTCAAGTGGCTGGAGCTGACATTGACCTGATACATGGTTTAGAAAGCCAGACAGGTCAGGCCCCCAAATAGTTTCACGATAAATAATCAAGTGTATTCTGCGTTATAGCTGGTTGGCACAATGGATAGAGTGCCAAGGCCTGGAGTCAGAAGACTCATTTCCCTGAGTTCCAATCTTACTAGCTGTGTGACCCTGGGCAAGTCACTTCACTCTGTTTGCCTCAGTTTCCTCATTTGTAAAATAAGCTGGAGAAGGAAATGGCAAACCACTCCAGGACCTTTGCCAAGAAAACCCCAAAAGGGGTCACAAAGGGTCAGACACGACTGAAAATGACAGCACAACAACAACAAAACATGTGGCCCTTCTCCCACTCCTCCAATATTGCACAGACCTTTTGTTTGAAGTAGCTGAAATCAAGGTTTGACAGCTAGCAATGCCAAGCAACTCAGCAAGGCCCACAGCCTCCTGCTTTTTGACTGCAGATACATGCCTAGGATGGGCTGGCGGGCCCTTGGTCCCAGGAAAGCCAAATTGAGAGGATACTGACAACACTATTCCCATGTGAACTTGTTCCCTGGCCATGGTCATGCTCCTCTGCACCCAGGCCAGTCTCCTGCAGCTGCTGTGGCTGCCACCTGGTCCTAGGGCATGAGTTTCCTTACCCTCCTCCCAGGCTCCCCCAGCACCACAGGACCACTCCATAGCATTGGCCAGCCCTTCAACACACAGGAACCTATGGTATCTTAAGGCTTCCAAAGGCCATAGCTCAGATGAAGTACTCCACCGTGAACACCTCTTGTGCCAGGTGTAAAAATCCCCAGTTACATTTCTTCCTTTTCTAATAAATCAATGCCATGGCAGCCTTGCTAGTGCATGTCACCATGGGTTGTTTTCACATACAGTTCAGTGCTCGAGCAGAAAGACCATCGCCCCCCTCTCCTTTCCTCCCAAAGCCATATTTACCTGTACAAAAACTGTGAAGAGGATCACCACCGTGGTCGCTGCAACGAAGAACTTCTTTTGGGGAAAGTTCGGGAGGAGAAAAACGAGAGAGAAGCAGATGGCCCCCCTCAGTCCCCCATAGGCGATAATGAACTGGTCCTTTCTGGTGACTGTGTTCAGATGACATTTATTCACAAAGAATGTCAACACGAGGACACCTACATTTCCAAAGGGGAAGGAAGAAGAGGTGGGAAGTCAGCAGAGAGTCAATGGCCACAAATGGGAGGTGAGGATAAATAGTAATGACAGCATTGTAAGGGAAGTGAATTCTGAACGACATGAAAACCAGTGTGGGTCCCAAGGAATGGACCTTTCTTCTTTCAGCAAAGAGGCAGGGGCCTATGAGAGTGCAATGTTGCATGTATTGTCTGACAAGGTAACTGAATTTTTGCTTAACTGCTTTTCTCTGCTACCAAGGAGTCTTCAATTCCAAGCAAGGGGGAGGGTTGTATTTCAAGAAGTGATTGCGACTATGAGTGTGATGCAAAAGCAAAGGGCATCAATAAAAATTTATTTTTTAAGGGAGTGTAGAAAATTAGTATTAAACTAAATGAGAATTCTAAGGATTGGCGATAAATAATTAAAAAGCTGAAACTAATTAAATTCTTAAAGGCTTTGGTCATAAGCTCATGGCATTTTTTCAAGCTGGAAAGGACCCTGGATATCCTCCCATTTCAAAGCTAAGTAAACAGAGGCAGAGAGGTCAAGCAGTTGCCCCAGATCACACAGCACAGGCCCTATTCATTCTACCATACTCAGCTGCCTCTCCATCAGAGGGTTTTCTTTAAGTGGCTTTCCTCTTTTTTTGCTTTGCTTTGCTCCAAATTTTGAAAATGAAACTAGAAGTATGGATGGTATTCCCTTGGGGCTTGAAATGGGTGTGCTGGATAACTGCAAAATGAATCACAGAAACTAAGGAAAATATTTCCATCCATTCTCAGAAAATCTGATAAGCCATGTCCAGATGCCTAGTTTGGAGGCAGCCACCTTTAAGAAACTGGGAATGCTGATAGTATTGAAAGAGAAGGTACATGACCTCGCATCTAAGACCCTTGCTCTAGGGTTCTAAGTGTAGGCCTAGAAGAAGGGACCCCTGAAACTCCACTCCTGTTCAGCCCTGCCTACAGACTCAGGAGCAAACTCTATCCAGGATTGACCTTGCAAGCTTCCAAGTCATGTGACCAACAAGATGGCGGAAAAGCCATTTTCTCTGATCCCCATCATTTCTCAAATCTCTCCAAAATAGGAATTATACAGCAAAGAGAAAGCAACTTAAGCTGTCTCCATGCCTGAGGATATCTAGAATCCAAAACATTTAAAAAAAAAACCATGAACTGACTCCAACTGACCTGAGCTTACTCAGCAAGCTACATGCAACAAGACTGAACTAGCAGAAACAAGTACACAAGCTTACATCACCATGTACCCCCATCCCTGGTCCCCTCTCCCTTCCAGTGCCGTGAAAGTCCCAGCTCCAGGCTGGAGAATTTTGCCCAGGCTGCAGCAGACATCCCTCCCGGCCACAGCCTTTCAGGAGCAAAAGCCTGCAGGGGGCCACAACTCAGTAGCACCAATGCTATAAAGCTCTGAAGTGTCAGTGCTGGGGTGGTCAACCCTGAACACCAGCACTGCAAAGCTCCAAACTGTCAGTGCCAGGCCAGAGGACTAAGGAACAGAGGGAGCAGATCAGGACACCAGGACAGGACATTCTATGTGTATGTGTGTGAGGGGGAGGGGTATGTGGAATTCCACTAAGCCCAAGGGAAAGAACACAGCATCCAGCTGGGGCCAGTTCCAACTACTCAAAAGTCACTTGGAGCAGAGGTCTAGGCTGGTTGACTATGAATTGCTAAGCATGAGAGGAGGCTGAAACACTTTGAGATGCAGTCTCCAAGGAAACCACAATCAGAGGAGAGAGAGTCAGGAAGTGAGCAACAGGAGAGAGAAAAAAGACTGAAATTACCAAGGAAGAATAAAATTCAAACACCTTGAACATAAGCAGATAATTCAACAGGAAAATCAGTAACAACAAAAAGAAACATGGCTTCCAGATTCAATAAATGAGTTCAAGCATGTACAAATAAATACTGCAAAACAAAGGAAAATGATCCAATACTAGATGAGACAGGGGACCCTGTGGAAACTGAGGAGAACATGGAACTATAACATTATGTTCCTGAGTGGTTTAAAAGAGAAATAAGAATAATAACAACAGACTTTATGGCCTACACAGCAAAAATCATTAGCAGAGTAGAGAAACTGGAATTTCCAATGGTAAGTCTTACAAAAGAAACAAAAGAGAAAATAGATTGGGAATGCAAATACAAAGGAAAAGAAATTCAAATAATGCGAGATTATTCTGTACCAACTAGAAAGTGTAGGAGGGGATGGAATAATGTGTTCCGAAAGAGCAATGGAGTTGAGGATGCAGCCCACAGTGACGCTGCAAATCTGAGTTTAAACATACATGAAAAAAGATGGACATTCAATAATAAAGAGGTGTTCAAAACATTTTTATAAGAAAACTAGAACTGAGGATATTATTTGCTCCTCAAACACCCCAAACAACATGCATGCAGGAGAGTGCATAAATTCAGGAGACAAGGACAGCAACAGTAACAGAGTGACAACAGAGAGACTAGCAAGAGACGTTTTTTCTAAATACATACAAAGAGACAGGGATGAAAGTAGAAATCTGGTAGAGATAACAGTGAAGGTAGATGGGGGCATTATGGATAGAACCTGACAACACCTTGCCTACAGGTGAATCAATGCTTTTTGTGGAACTACATTACAACATGTAAGAGTAAGTGAAAAGGAAGAGGGGAACAGGGGAATATTGAGGAGTGTGCAATGTTCCAGGGTCAAATCACAGGCTAACAATGAGAGGAAGGTTACCCCTGTGGTCTCAAAAAGAGAAGAACCTTCAGGAGAATGGGTGATGAGGAGGGGAGAAGCGTCAAAAAGAAGAAAAGGAAGGAGACCTTACTTTGGTACTATGAGTGGGTTCCAATGATGAATGTTCCTGTAGGTGAAGAGGAATGTTCTGTGAAGGGAGATGGTGATCTTACACTGGGTGTGGCCTGGGGAATTTGGTGCTTGAAAAGTCTACTCATCCTACACGGGAAACGGAAGAGTTGGAACCCTTGGGGGAAATTAGCACTTGAGGGATTGAGAAATTAAAGACCTAAGGAGCAAATTTTTGAGGAAAATGTAGGGAAAAAAGGAAGATATCCAAAGGAGGGTAGAGATCAGTGGTGGGCTGAATAATCAAGGACGTGACAGAGAAGGGGCCCTACCACAGGTAAGTATCCTCTCCAACACATACAATAATTGGCATTGTTCTGGGAGCAAGGCACAATGGAAAACAGAAATCCATGGCAGAAATTTCCCAGAAGGGAAAGCCTAGAATGAATACCTTGGAAGTTTTGAGAAACACATGCAAATTACAGGAGTCATGAATCAGAAAATGAGAGTCTGGAGTAAACAGAAAAAGGAGGATGGATAATGAAGAGAGTGAGAGAAATCCTCTGTGGAAAAATGCACAAAAAATGAAATTTTAAAAACTAATGAACAGGACTAGTTGAAGGGGAGAAGAGGAAGGGGGAATCTACTTGACTAACTGAGAGGAAAAAAGGCAGGGGTGAGAATTATATAATCAGTTACTAAGCCTTTCAAAGTTGATTATCTTCACAATATCACTGTTACTGTATAAATTATTCCCCTGATTCTGCTCACTTCACTTTGCATCAACTCATATAAATCTTCCCAGCTTTTTATGAAACCATCCCCTTCATCATTTTTTACAGTACCATTGTATTCCATCACATTCATATGCCATAACTTGTTTAGCTATTCCCCAACTGATGAGCATCCTCACAGTTTCCAACTCTTTGCCACCACAAAAAAGAGCTGCTATAAATATTTTTGTACATATGGGTCCTTTTCCTTTTTCTTTGATCACTTTGGGGTTAAGACCTAGTAGCAATATTTTTGAGTCAAAAGGTATGCATAGTTTAATACCTTTTGGGGCATAGTTCCAAACTGCCTTCCAGAATGGTTGGAGTAGTTCACGGTTCTACCAATAGTGCATTAGTGTACCTATTTTACCACATCCTCTCCAGCATTTGTCATTTTCCTTTTCTGTCACCTTGGCTAACCTGATAGACATGAGGTAGTACCTCCAAGTTGTTTTAATTTGAATTTCCCTAGTTTATCTGTCATATTTATGGATAAGGGAAGAATTTAGGACCAAAGAAGATATAGAAAGCACTACAAAATGTAAAACAGATAATTTTGATAATATAAAATTAAAAAGTTTTTTGCACAAATGAAAACAATGCAACCAGAATTATAAGGAAAGCAGAAAACTGGGGGAAAATTTTGCAACAAGTATCTCTGATAAAGGCCTCATTTCTCAGATATATAGAGAACCGAGTCAAATTTATAAAAATGTAAGTCATTACCCAATTGATAAATGGTCAAAGGATATGAGATAAGGAGAAGGGCAATTTTCAAACAATCAAAGCTATAATAGTCATATGAAAAAATGCTGTAAATCATTATTGATCAGAGAAATAAAAATTAAAACAACTCTGAGATACCACCTCACACCTATCAAAATAGCTAATATAACAAAAAAGGAAAATGTTGGACATTGGAGGGGACGTGAGAAAATTAGAACACTAATACATTGTTGCTGGAATTGTGAACTGGTCCAACTGTTCTGGAGAGCAATCTGGAACTATGTCGAAAGGGCTATAAAACTGTGCATACGTCTTTGATCCAGCATTACCACTTCTAGGTCTATATCCCAAAGACATCCAAAAAAGGGGAAAGGACCTATTTGTATAAAAATATGTATAGCAGCTCTTTTGGTAGAGGCTAAGAATCAGAAATCAAAAAAGAGATGTCCATCAATTAGGGAATGGCTAAACAAGCTGTGGTATATGGTTGTAATGTAATATTATTGTGCTATAAGAAATGACAAGCAGAATGATTTCAGAAAAACCTGGAAAGACTTATATGCATAGTGAACTGATGCATAGTGAAGTGAACAGAAAGAGGAGACATTGTACACAGTAACAGTAATATTGTTCAATGAAGAACTGAGAATGACTTAACTATTTTCAGCAACACAAGGATCCAAGAAAATCTC